CACACAGGGTGGTTTAGATAGTTTCTTTCTTCAATTAACTGAAATTATAATTTTTGGTTACTTATCTTTGTCTGCATCAAAGTTTCTTCAAAATCTGTGAGGGTGCAAATAAAAAAATTAAGTAGTCTTAAAATAATTGCATGTATTAACTGATAATCCAAGCTTGGAGGTTGTTTTAATATCTAATTCCAAATATTTATTATTATCTGTAGTGTATTTAATAGGCGCATTAGAAGAAGCTCAGAGAAAAGGCAGCTTTATAGGTTTAGTTAAACTTGGGTTAACTGTTGGTGAGTCAGAACCAATGGATAAATACAGTTTACAGATCTGACAACTGTATCGTTTTGTTTCCACCCTAAAACTAATTAAAGCGCCCAAGACGAGGTTGTCGCGTGGTCGTATCATTACCCTCACTCAGTCGTTTCACAGTACGTAGTTATTACTGAGCCTCCACTAAATACAGCGGTCCTCAGGCAGCCAGTGTCATTTTACTCTGCAGCTGCGGGCCAATGCAAGCGCCCACTCTAACCTCCATCAGTCAGGGGGACTTTAATAAATAACATGCCATTCAAGGAGTTTGGATCTCTTCTTTGAGATTTACTCAGGCATGGACAGTGAGGAGTTTAACAGGAAGTTATGATGCTGGTTTATTTGGCTGTCAGTCTGCAGGAACACTGAGCCCCTCCAGTCAATTAATATAAGCCTTCTAACCGTTCGAAAGCTGTAAATCTTAACAAGCAGATTGGATAAAACTGAGTGGGAAGTGACAGTTGCCCTGATTATTTTAAGGTTGCCCTGCTACTTATTATGCAGTGGGCACATGGATATATTTGATCCCTAAAATGATGCCTTGAGGCTCCAAACTTTTAATCCAGTTATTTTATGGCATTATCTCTTTATGGCATATATATTAAAGTTTTAGTTTTTTAATAAAGTATTCTTAAACTTATTAGAATCTTTAAAAACAACATTGGAAAAGAAAAAACAAATATGATATTTGATATTGCCGATTAGCCATGCTTGAGGGCAGGAGCTAAATCCTGTGAAATAGATAAATTAAAGTCCTCCCTGGAACAATTTATGGCAAAATCAGTAAAACGAGAGAAAAGGTAGAAAGGATAATAGGCAGGACCAGCCACTTATAGAATCACAGGTGTAACTCTCTGAAGGACTGATGTGGACATGTCCACTCCAATAATTTCAATACATAAACTTTAGCTCTCAATAATATGTGAGACAAATTTCTAAGTTGATTTTGTTGATTTTGAAGGAAGATAATTATTGATGTAGCTGAAAGGGAAAACATCCTTCAATCCAGATGGATGGATGGATCTGAAATAGTTTCCATACTAGGGAGACATGATATATTGCTGTTGGCAATGGAATTGGCTGTTACTCATCCTATTTTTGTTATATATTAATTTCTAACTACATATTGATATAAATATCTGTGTATTTTGGTTCTTTTTTGCTCTCAACAATAGAAAAGCATTCAATAAATACATGTTTTATTTGGAAAATACAAAACCCTATTGAAAGCGTTTGTGTCGAGCAACCGTAGGTCGATCAGCTGCCACCCTTAGAGCGTCCCTGCCAACTTTCATTACAAATTTACACCCTTGTATAGATTTGAGAGACAACTGACTGACCAGTGCTAGTTTTCAGATCCTCATCTACTCCCCTGCCAAGACAGAAAGATAAATGGATGATCACTCAGACAGATTGATGTCAGCCCACCTACATGACCGGATGGGAGGGAACATAAAAGGCTGTATTTCAGATTTCTGGTTCTTACTGTTTTTCAAGGGGTGAGAAATGTGCAGAGAGATGTTATAAAGGCTCCTCAGTGATTTCTTCTAAGCCAGACCCCTGAAAGTTTTTAATAATTTTTAGGCCAGTAATGTGGTTATAAATTAAGGCAGCAATGAAAGCAATGCAGGGAAAACCATATTTAAAATTGTTGGCTCTGCAGTAGCTATCAATTCTGTAAGGGGAGCAGACTGCCATTAGCCATTTCTTTAAAGATCATTGAAACCCTTCTGTTGACAATTGGTTTTTCTAGTTTATCTGCAAGCTAATGCTAAGTTAACAGAGCAGTACAGCTAACCTTTTTAGGAACTAGGAGGTATTAGTTTAAAGGTGCAGTATAATATTAGCCATTCCAAATTTCCCCACTTTCCTTGATGGGTCCCCTGTGTGTATTTATAAACACTACACAAAGTATGAATTGGTGGGCCCCCAGTATTCAATACTTTAGATTTTTTCCCAGGCCCAGCTAAGGCTGTCAGCTGGTCTGATGCTAAAGGAAGTCTCCAAAAACCCGTGATAGGACCTGTAGCAGGCTCTTGCTACCAATTGTGTAAATATGTTTGATTGTACAGTCATATGACATTTGCAAGAAGAAAACTTATGCTTTTGAAGAAAAACTTGAAGGTCAGACTTGAGGTTTGTACTCTATAACCCGTCAAAGCTTGCTGTTGG